TGGTTGAAAACCGTTTAATGTTAAAACTTTAAAACACCGACTTGGGTCAATGTTAATAATTTTTAGTGCGGAGTCAGTCAATTTGATTGAAAAACTGTCAAAAATCCTCATATTTGGGGGTACTCTTAAACGTGGGTCAATATTAAAAACCTTCAGTACGGAAATGTGATATACAATGAAATTTGAAATTTGAATCAATGAGAACCCAATGGATAATGAGAACCCAAAATGCGAATATTGGGGGGTTCCGTTATATGGGGCTACACCATAACGTGGACCGATATACTGGCAATGTCTGCGCCAAATTTCAAAGTTCTATCTAAAATATTGCGATATCTATCGGGATTTTAACGTAGAATTTTATGCTATTCAAGTATATATATTCGTTGTGGGGTCTCCGGTGAATATTTCGACTTGTTGGAAAAGGAATGACAAATTTTATATACACTCCACCTTACACTTTACTTCATTAGCGTTTACTTCTTTATTATTTTTTGAAGAATTATTTTTTTTTTCTTGACTGCGCAAATAAGTTGCACAAAAACTGATATTTTTTTAATGTTTATAAAAAACTTATTTAGTACAAAAAATGGAAAAAAACTTCAGATTTATATCAGTGCCCTGACCACTTTATCCAGGCTAAATACGTAGGTTCTTATATAATTAAAGATTGTTTATATATATTCTCTTGTGGAAAGCCCGACTATATTAATTCTTAAATTAATGTTCACCTATTTTAAAATGGAACTTCCGAATATATTCAGATTTAATCTTGGCATACGAAAAGTTTGTGAGTCCAGATGATTATAAACGTATTTTACTTAGAATATTATTTTTTTTCTTTCGAAAAATAAACAAACTTAAAATTATGTAGCTAATAGCCACATCGCTTAGAAAAATATACAAAATAAATATAATTGTTTAGCATAGGGATAGTTCATAATAACAATAGATTATAAAATGCATGTCCCTAAATACTTACTTAGTTTAGTTTCCATGTCTTCATGTATATAATAATTTCCAAATATTATTTTGTGTAATTTTTTCAAAAGAACACAATATACCAAACAACGAACTTCAGATTTTGGCATACGAAAAGTCGTTGAGTCCAGATTGCTATAAACTAATTTTAATTAGATTTTTTTTGAAAAATAAAATATAATGGAATGAAGTACCTAATTGTCAAAAGCTTAGAAAAATATTAGGAAAAATAAATTTCCAAATTGTAGAAGCATAGACACAGTTTATAATTTATTCAGTATTCAATAAAACATTATTATGCATGTCCCTAAATACTTCCAATTTTTTTTATAGATTTAGTTCAGAGTTTTATTCATGTTCTTCATGCATATAATAATTTCAAAATATTTTTTTTGTGGAATTTTTAAAAATAAATCAATATACCTAACATAATGTCAAAATACTTTTAATTGACTCTTAAATAAAAAATACTTAGTAAATATAATTTTTGAAAACTCCATTGTAACCCCTTTATCCAAAATTTTTTCTAAATTAAAAAAAAAATAATTTTTGTCTAATTATTTTATTGATAAATGTAAAATCAAAAAAAATCCTGTATACGTTGTCTATTAAATAACGGTGTATTACTCAGGTGTATTGATGTAATAAATATTGATTGACGCAACGTTTCATATTTTCATAAAAATCTAAATCTTAAAATCCATTTCCATGATGAAATTTAACAAAAAATTCTTATTTCAATCCGAACCAGATATTTGATGTAGATTTTAAATCATCTAAAATCTAATAGATTGGTTCCATTATATAAATGAATTTTCACCATCATTTTCAAATTCCAATTTTTTTTATAGATTTCAGTTTTAATCAGAGTTTTGATGTCCATTTCAAAACATATGAATGATTTATGAAATTCATTGTGCATTTAATATTGATAATCAATTTTTGAATCGAGCAATAAGTTGAGTTCTTTTTAAAAAAGCAACTCCACCAAAAAATTCCGATTATTATCACATTTTCCGTTGGTGAAAACTAAGAATATTCATTCAAGGAATTATTTCAAAATATTTTTTATTGTTCTTTATACCACAACCTTTATTAATGTATTAAAACTTGTCATTATATAAAATATTTGCAATTGAAGTATTAATTTAAATCGGAATTTTAATATCAATATATTCCAAATAAATTGCCTTTCGTTTTATAATTAGTAGTCCGATTAAAAGGAGAAAAAATTGTCCTCCAAAAATTTATTTCCACCATCATTAAAGAATTTTGAATGGTTTTAAAATATTTGTTAAATGACCCTTCGTAAAATTATTTCAGAGTTAAATAAATTATTTCAGAATATTTTTGTACGTTCTTCTGAAATTATCTGTTAGATTGAGTGTATATATAGTCCCAGGTGCTCTTGTTTACTTCAAAGTGTATCATAACAAAATTTCTTTAATTTGTTTAATAAAACTATACACGACGATTTTAATCCAAATCAGCTTCTAAAAGTTGAACCACATACTTTGATGTATAATTCATGTTCCGTATATCATATATACAAATAAATAAAAAATAACGATTTTCTTCTAACACCATTCCATCGAGGAAAAATTTTCATTATATCAACGTTATTATTATTTTTTAAAATTGTTTTCAGAATATTTTTCAATGCTTTTAAAAAAATATATGTTATATTCAGTGTCAATATATCAGGTGTTCTTAGTGTACTTCAAAGTGTATCATAACAATTTTTTATTAAAATTTCTTAAATTTCCTTGATAAAATTATACACAAATTTTCCAAATCAGGCTTTTAAATTGGAAGCACATATATTGACGTCGAGTCCTGTTCTGTTTCGTCTCCATTGAGGAATTTCATCAAATCAAATCATTTTTTTAACCCATGTTAACAATTTTTTTTTATTAAAAAAATATTTAAATCAATCTAGTAAAAATTAGGCCACAATTATAACATCTTGACTATGGTTGGGTTAATTTTTCTATAAAACGTTAATTTTCAAATTAAATTAATTTGTATGAATCTTCAAATAACATCATTTTAAATTACTTTGGACTACTTATACATTTTTGGATTAATTTCTTCCTTATTAAAAAAAAAAAAAATTCGTCATATTCAAATTTGATTTTTATAAATCCATATTCATAATGTTCATTTCCATTTAAAAAATATTTCTGCTGAAAATTATGTGCGTTTTTTTGGAGTTGAAGAAATTTATATTTGCACCATATTAAAACAACTTTATAATATAGCATATTCATAATGTTTTAATTTCAATTTGAAAATAAATATTTTAGATGAAAATTATGTACTTTTTTTTGAAGTTGAAGAAACATTTTATATTTGCACCATATTAAAATAATTTTATAAGTTTATTTCATAAAAATTAATTTTTCAATATTATTTATATATCGTTATTTAATTTAATTATCATATTCAATTTAATTTCAATATTTTTTATTTTTTTGAAAATTATATGTGTGTTTGCAGGTTCGACGAAAACACTTTTTTCATCTTCATGTTTTAATATTTTTTTATTTTTATCCACAATTTTTATTGTTTTATTATTTTTAAATAATTTATTTAGTAATTTAATTGAAATTTATCCAATTTTATTGTTTTTTCTCCAACTCCATAGCAAACTTCTCAATCTCTTCAATTCCAAAAATTTACGTAAAAATAATTTTCAAAATATTTTTTGGTGCTACACGAAAATAAGCGGCCGCAACAAAATTCCGTTGCTTTCAACTCAATTGTCAGAGGTGACAATTGAGAATGAGTTTGTGTTCCTGCACAGAAAATTAAACACAGAGCCAAAGACCAAAAACATATTTTTGTTTCAGGTAGCTGTGCCTTACTCACAATTTCATAGAGAAACCTCCGGGTTTTCGAAAATATCTACAAGAAAAATGCATTTTTAATACCATAGGCGACATCTATTGGTGGTTATAATAATTACATATTACGCTCTCTGAATAATCTCTCGCTCTGCAATATATTCTCTAAGAATTTTTGTATACTCTCATTGAATCCGTTTTCTCAATTTTCCCACAAAAAATGTTTGCTCTTGTTTAGAAAACATCTGCCGTTTCTGTATGAAGTTTGTGAGAATTCGAACGGACAGACAGCCACAGCCACAATGTTGTGTTAAAAATGCGTTAACAAAACCAAACAAGCAGTGGTGGCGATTCCTTTGGGCCTTGTTTATGCTCTACCAGGTTCTCCGTAACTTGCTCCCTCTCTTTCCTTTTTACTCTCACTATGTGACTCTCCCTCTCTCTTTTTTACTCTTTGCACAAATATTATGCTCATTTATATTTCTGTGGATGAGCAGAACCTGTTTTACTTCATTGTGTGCTGCACATTTGGTACTCTCGCTCTTTGTCACACCTCTCTGCTAGGGGGCACTCTCATTGTTTTACTCTCTCTGTTTGTTGCATGTGAGCATATTTGTGGGTATTTTAGCTCTTTGTTGGGATTAGTTACGCTCTTATGATTTTCTATAGCTGGACTGGCAAACCGAGGTATTGTAAGAAACTAAGTTGCAACAGAAAATCAGTGTAGTTCGTTGCTTCGTCGTGTACGGTTGTATACTTTCAAAAGAACAGAAAATATACAAACGTGTAATGTAAACTAAAGAGAACAGAAACAAAATTAACTTAGACAAAATAAAAACGTAAAACACACAAGTAAATTCGTATTTACGTAAAGACCAAATAAACGAAAAATAAGACCGTGATCAAAGCGAGCACTTGGATTATCGCTCACGGCATAAAATTCGAAAAAAAAAAAATCATATAAGAAATTTAAACGAAAAAACAAATACTTTGCATGAAAAGCCACAAAAATTAAGTGAAGTGCTGAAAAATTGAAAAACAAAAAAATTGGAAAAAAATTTCCTCAAGTGAATATGGAATTTTAACAATCCCACCAAAAGAAAACAAAATCATTATTTCATCGATTCCAATTCATTCATCAATTTTCGTATTCATACAAGTTTTGTGAAAAACACCAACAACAACAAAATGTCGACTAAAAATTTGGAAACAATTTTAACTCTCACCTCCCTGGTTTTGCTGATGGTCGCCTCCACAACCTCTGGCTTGGCCAATTGCCCCGCTGGCTGCCAATGTGATGACAACACCCTAATTGTCCAGTGCGGTGAAGGACAATTGGATGTGTTGCCAATTGCCTTGAATCCCTCCATTCAACGTTTGGTCATCAAGAACAACAAAATCAAGACCATTGACTCATCCATTCAATTCTATGCTGAATTGACATTCTTGGATTTGTCCTCCAATCATTTGATGAACATACCTCAGCGTACCTTTGCCTATCAGCGTAAACTGCAAGAGGTCCATTTGCAGTACAACAAAATTGGCGCAATCAGCAACAAGACCTTGATTGGTTTGTCGGCCGTTACCGTTTTGAATTTGCGTGGTAATCTCATCTCGGAATTGCATCAAGGCACCTTTGCCCCCTTGGCCAAAATTGAAGAATTGAATTTGGGTGAAAATCGCATTGGCTTCATTGATCCCAAGGCTTTCGATGGTTTGAACCAATTGAGAATTTTGTATTTGGATGACAACGCCTTGACCTCAGTGCCAGATCCCGTCCACTTCCAATCGATGCCAATGTTGGCTGAATTGTTCTTGGGTACCAATGCCTTGATGACCGTGCCCTCAGCTGCCTTCCAGGATTTGAAAGGTTTGACTCGCCTCAACTTAAAAGGTGCTGGTTTGCGTAACATTTCCCACGATTCCTTCTTGGGCTTGGAGTCGTTGCGAATCTTGGACTTGTCCGACAACCGTTTGACCCGTGTCCCCACCAACAGCTTGAGCCAATTGGGCCGTTTGGAAGAATTGTTCTTGGGCCAAAATGATTTTGAAGCCATCCTCGAAGGTGCCTTTGTCGGTTTGAAACAATTGAAGCGTTTGGAAATCACTGGAGCTCTGCGTCTGAAGCGTGTCATGACCGGTGCCTTTGCCAGCAACACCAACTTGGAATACTTGAACTTGGCCTCCAACAAAATGTTAAACGAAATCCAAGAAGGTGCTCTCAGTGGCTTGCCCCATTTGAAATATGTCAATCTCAAGGCTAACGGTTTGACCACCTTGGCTGAAGGTCTCTTCCCATGGCAAGATTTGACCACCTTGGATTTGTCTGAAAATCCCATTGCCTGCGATTGCCGTGTCATGTGGCTGAGAAATGTTCTGATCAACAAGAATCAAACCGGTGACAATGTCAGTGAAGTGTTGTGCGAATTCCCCGAAAGTCTACGTGGTGAAGAATTGAAGAACTTGAATCCTGCTCTGATGGGTTGCTCTCACACCGATCCCCGTAAACAGGCCTTGATTGGTGCCCTCCTCGTTGGTACTGCTGCCACCATCACCACCTTGGTCTTGATTGTCTACCGTTGCCGCAGAAAGATCCGTGACTACTTGAAGGGTGGTATCTTCGGCAACTCCGCTTTGGGCAACAAGGAACGTGAATACCAAAAAACTTTCTGTGATGAAGACTACATGACCCGTCATCAACATCACCCCTGCAGCTTGGGCATCCACTCGACTTTCCCCAACACCTATACGCCACACAACATGGGACCAGCTCACTATGGACCAATGTGCCCCGTACAATTGAATGGTGCTGAACAGAAAAATTTCCAACAATTGCAGGTTCCAACTGGTACAATTTTGAATGATAAGAAATCCGCGAAGACCCAAAACGGTGCAGTTACTGCCGAAGACAATGACTCGTTTGTGGTCCACATCAAGAATAGCTCGAACAATGCTGCTGCCATCCAAAAATTGAATCACTATACCAAACCTCATTTGTTCCAACAAACTGCCGCTGTGGGTGATTCTTGCTATTCCTATGCCGATTTGCCAATTATCCACTCCAGCTCGAACCAGGAACAAAACATCAACTATCACCAACAGCCCATGCACTATGGCACATCTCAGGACTACTCAAATTCCACGGCCAGCACTGTCGAAATGGATCCCAACTACATTTACAGCAACACCCACTACTCCATGCCATTGGAACAGGGCAACAGCCAAAGAGTCAAGACACCCACCCCACCACCAGTACCACCAGCATTGCCCCTACGCAATCCTCCCCAAATGTTGAGTGTCAGCACCACTGGTCGCCGTTCCTTCAATCACGGTTCCAAGCACAGCCAGTCGAATGGTCATGCTGCCAACCAGGCCCAAACAATGCGTTATCAGCACTGATTGTGGGACAACAACTCGGGAAGTCTGAAAAGACCTGGACAAGGTTATCAAAGAACTCCGGAGAATTATCCCAGCTCGACAGGATTGACGTATCATCGCCAGAATTTAAGCATTTGGGCTTAAATAATCGACGGGACACAACAACCGAAACATTTCAAAGTGGTCAACTGTGATGTCAGACTATCGTAACAAGCAAGCTAACAAGGACTTAACACTCCCCCACCCGCCCCCTCAAAACAAAAAACCCCCAACCTGTACAGAATTTAAGTTCATCTATCATTAAGACACAAACAAACCGAACAAAGACATTTAGTTTTCTAAGATATTTTTTAGTTAAACGAAGAAGAAGAGGAAGAAGAAAAAAAACTAGGCTAACACATTCACATACATTTTTCGTATGTGTAAGTAAATAAATCACATTTAAAATAATAGGGAATCATTGTAAATATTTCACACACATTATCACATCATAAGGAATGATCTCTTTAAGATTCAGCCGTATATAAAAAAAAAATTAAATTTCCTTATTTTTTTAAATTTCGATTTTATTTTTTGTAAAAATATGTATAAAAATCCCAGCACTGAAGTCATTTAGTTTTTTATTAATTTTAAGTTTAACTTGTATTATTATTTATATGTAAATGTTTAACGTTTTATTTTTAAAAATAAAAAATCCAACAAAAAATTCAAAGAACTGTATATGTATTTATTATTAATGATGAAATAATCGTAGTTATTGTTTTCTTATTTTTTAGTTTATTTTATAAAACAAAAAGCAAAACTTTTTTGTACATTTTAGTTAGTAACTGAAAAACAAACAAACAAAAACAAAGACAACAAAATACTTAAAGAAAATAAATAAAACAAATTTTATTAAAAATATAAATTTTTCTCTGTGTTATAAACTGGGAACTGGGGAAAAAATTGGGGGAAATGGGTAAACATTGGTATGAGAGTGGAGCAAGAGTGATAAATGCAGAATTTAATATTCTCAGAAAAGAATAAAATGATTTTTTGGGATGCTAAATAAAACTAAATTCCAAGAATACTCTTGCCAAATAAAATATAAAACAAAGAAATCGATGAAATTCTTCATTACCCCTTGGGAAAAAATATTATTTGTTTTCAAAAATAATGTTCTGAAGTGGACTTCTGGGTTAGCAAAGATTTCAGAAATAGTTTGCTCGCATTAAGTGTTTCAGAATATTCCAAACGAAACATTTCATATAAAAATAGAACCATTATATATATATATATATATCTGCTGTGACAACTCAATTGTTTGTTTAAAATGGGGGATAGTTTATCTATGCTCAAATGTGGATGCTAATGTAATGATTTGTTCGTAATATACAAATGTCAAATAAAAAGGACAATACCTTCTTTTCATGATCTACATATCCAATTTATATAAAACTATATTAATTCAAATAATAACCCTACATAAAGTTTGGTTTCGAAGTAGGTACATTATTTCTGAAATTCTGTATTGTATTTTGAGAGAAGAAACCAGCAAGGAAAGTAGTAAATTCGGACTGGGCCGACTATATGATACCCTTCACCACTTTGGGTTAATTCTACATATGTATCCTAACAGACGTCGCCTTTTTGAAGGAACATTGACATGACATTGAACGAACTTAAATGTGTGATCTATATCTACATCTAAACCGACTAACATCAATCCCTACACAGGTCATTCTGCAACCTATGCTAAATTTTGTAAATCGATTTAAAGCAAACTGGACACACGCTATTTGGTATGCTGCACGGTTCAATTAAAGTGAATAGATCGAAATTATATATTGGAGCTTTGCTATATCTCTATCTGAACCGATTTCATGGAATCTTGTCAGAGATTAATTTATGTTAAATTCAGTACGTTTTGTCAATAGGCCCAGCTATGGATCTTTAGTGCACCATTTACATAAAATCGGGCGAAACTATATATGGGAGCTATATCTAAATCTGAACCGATTTTCACGTCATTCTTGACTTAATTCAGTAAGCTATAAAAAAATCGTGCAAATCAAAAGATATATAGGGAGTTTGGTGCACCAATTACCTTAAAACGGACGAAAATATATATGGGAGCTATATCTAAATCTGAACCGATTTTCCCCAAATTCAATACAATCAGAACACAATGTACCAACTTCAATCAGAACACAATGTACCAACTTTCAGTGAATTCGGTTGAAAAACGCTCCCAAGAACCCCAAAATACCGAAAATTGGAGGGTACCCGATATGGGGGCTACCCTAAAAATTGACATATATTTATAATTTTTAGTGGAGAGATTTTCTACCCAATAAAACTCAAAGTATTAAATTACAGCCAATTCGGTCGTAAAATACGATGTAAACCTCCAAAATACCGAAAATTGGAGGGTATCCTTATATGGGGGCTACCTGAAAAAATGGTCGTATATTTATATTTATTTTTTATATTTAAAAAAAAAATATATATATATATATATATTTTTTTTTTTTTTGAGATTTGGTGCTCAATATGAACCCTATGTACCAAATTTCTGCAAATTCGGTTGTGCTCAAGAACTCCAAAATATTGAAAATTGGAGGGTACCATTATATTGTACCACTTGTACAAAATTAAAAAAATCGCTGTTGCAAAAATAAATTCTGGCTACGTCGGTGCTCCACACTATGGTGTAGGGTAAAAAAATGTGATGGATGCTACTATATCTGCAGCTTATACACTTTCAATACGGTCCCTCCGTGAGCCAAATAAGTGAGCTGTGTCAAATTGCTTATCATTCAGATCATAAATGCGACCTGCAGTTGGACATGCCTAAATCGATTCGGAAAAGGATTCTATGCATATTCTCATTGGATTATCTCGATTCCTTTTGTATGTTACAAACACACACTGAATTTACTACTCTGTACACAATGGTGTCCCAATCGGAACCACCTTGGGTGTTTGGTGAACCAATTACAAAAAATCTGACCAAAATATATATGGGGGCTATATCTAAATTTGAACTGATTTTCACCAATATAAAAAAAGAGTTTGTCCTTGGTCCAAATAAATGAGCTGTATCAAATTTCATCCAAATCGGATCATAAATTCGACCTGTACTATGTTTAAAATTTTACATCATCAGGCACGCATAAATCGACTCCGAAAATAGTTCTCTGCATTTTCTCAAAAGTAGCCAAGGATATATTTTGTTTCCTTTTGCGTGTTACAAACATATGCACAAAAATATAATACGCTGTACCACAGTGTGATGGGTATAAAAAATTTATATTTTTATTGGCGGCTGTTGCTGATTATTTTTGAGATGACACATCTTCAGTCAAATCGAATGAGGAATATTTTTTGTAAAACACTACTTCTTTCTATCTTGAGTCCACAAGAATACAAAAATATAGCTTAAAAGACTCTAAATAGAAATCCCAAAGACAAGTGTCTTTTCATTATGAAATCAGACATCAGACCATAACTCAAAAACTATTGCGAATTTGTGTTTCTGAGTTGCTAACATACTCGCCAAGGACCTTCATTCCCAAAACGAATTTTACACACCCCAAACCATGACCGACTATCTCCATATTTTGAAGCACCAATTTTTTTAGAAGCTTTCCGCCTATGATGATATTAAAAAACTAATAAAAGCGCATATCCACCTCATTTATTACAATCACTTCATTGGGAAAATGGCGATGACGTTAAACCAGGAGTTCTTGGTATGTCATATGAAAGCAAAATAGACCTCACATCGGTATACTAATACATGAACCTTAAACATGTTTCTTATTTTTCATAGAACATGAAATGCCAAAGTACAGCTGATATTTATATAAGCTTCTCTTAAATATTATCAGATCTCTGAATTGATTAAGCGGGCTTTGAAAGGGTTATGTGCTTCGAATAAAAAAATACAAGATATCGAAGTTCATCCGCATAAAATTAAAATTACAGCCAATTTTGTGACTTACCAAAGTAACTATGGGTCTATCTCGTTTTCTTTTGCATGCTATAAACATTTCAATAAAGATATTATACCCTGTACGGTATAAAACATATTTGAAATATCCAAAAATTAAATTAAAATTGCAATATTTATAAAAACTATTTCGAAATGATTTGTTGCAATTTCAAAGGTTGCTTCAAACATATGTGCCCATGTCCCTTGGTTGAGGCAAGTCAATTCAATCACTGTTGTGAAAACCCCCTAACAAATAATATCTTTAAACAATTTCCAATACAAATGCCACAAAATCCAAAAGGTTTTAAAGAGTAATCAATTAAATGAAATATCCCTTTTAATATTGTGATTTTGGGTACGAAAAAATTGAAACCCTTGCTATTTTTGTTACAAAATATGTAACTGAAAAACAAACTTTTAACAAACTATAAAGGCTTTCTAAAATGTAACTATTATTGTTTAGCTGAACAAAAAAATTCAAACAAACAAAAACAACAACTTCCAAAAAACTCCCATCAACAAAACCCTAATTTGGGTCACAACAAAGTTAAATAAAATGTCCTGGCCACCAAAAATTCAAACAAAAAGCGGCACTTTAGGGATTACAAATTGCACTGGGGAATTTTGGTGTTCCCTTAGATGGGGGCAAGGCTGCACTAGAAGAATTAATGATATTCCCATTTGTTAGCACTACAAATATTTTTGTTTTTTGTAGTACTACTACAAAAGGGAAATTAAAAAGTAATGCAAAAGGAACAACAAGACGTACACACTCACACGAAATAGCAAAATGTAACAAAAAAGAAAAAAAAAAAAGAATAACAACAAAACCTGCCATACCATCAAGGCAGGCGACGGCAGAAACTTCCAACAACACTGCCTGCTAACAAAAGAACGGACGGCCGGTCGGTCACACCGTGACGCTTTATAGCAGCCAAGGCAAGAATGGAACATTAATGTGTATTTTCCAACAACCACCAGACGAGACCATTACCAAACAGCAACTGAGGCCCAGAAATTGGTTTGGACTGATGGATGGACAGATGACGACGTCGTTGCCATCGTCGTCGTCGTCGTGCTACACACAACCGACGTTGGTCATTCCAGTGAATACTGTAACAATAATTTTTTCTTCCATTTTTCATCTGCTGGTGTTATTGA